AATCACCTCAACGGTGCCACCCAGACACCGTCTCGACAGATCCTCCATGGGCCAACCTTAGTAAAGATCGTCACAGACTTTTCCTATATTACAAAAGCACCGTTCCTGGGATTTAAACATGGGATCTTCCCATAACGTTTGGTGAGGGTGACAACTAGACCACTTCACTAAGTTGCCACACCTCTTCTTTTTCCATTCTAAACATGAATCCAACACAATATCATATATATATTGAATTTCTTAGCAACCCCAATTATCTAACAACTTTACAAATTAACAAATATAGATTACTAAAACAACAGACCTATCAATTCACAGTCAACAACAAAATTTTATATAAAAAACATCAACTTTTGCTACATAGACTCCTTCAAGTCTTATTACGACATGAAACTAAACTAATTCTTTTCAATATGCATTCTGATCTGTTATCAGGATATTTTAATATCCTCTTGACTTTACAATAAATTTTTGTTTAATATTTTTGGCCCCAAATAGACAATAATGTTAGACAATATGTATAATCCTGTAACATTTGTCAACATAGAGGCAGACCCAAGTTCTAAGAACCATTTATTATACTCTATCAAGTTAGAGCAACTTTTTAATTAAGTCAGGATTGTCATTGTTGCTCTTTTGACTCAAACCAAATTCAGCAACAAGTATATTATAGTTGTTACTGTGTATTTCACTTGATAGCCAGAAGCACATGTCTTGTTAAATACTTCAGCCTTATTAGTGGCCTTATTTCTTATAGAAAAATTATTGCCACTATGAAAGTCCCAGAGTACTTCTTTCTGATTAAGGAAAACATTTTGATAATTACCTAATTGAAGCTATTTGTGCCAAACTATATATGCACTATCGATTTTCAACAAGCTACGATCCTCAGACTAATGGGTTGGTAGAATGTTTTAACTATATGCTCTGCAAAGTCTTGGCTAAATGCACAATTCAGTTCTCAGGTAACTGGGATTGATATTTATCTTTAGCTCTTTTTGTGTATTAAATCACCAAATATTCCATTACTCAATATGAGCCTTTTTATTTATATATAGAAGAGAGGCCACTCTACTAGAAGAAGTTAATATTTTAAGAGAACTCCTAGATAACATTATGAGAAGGATTGTTATGTTGTTAGAAGATTTGTCTATAGCACAAAAAAAATCTAGAGAAAAGATTACTAAAGCCCAACAGTAACAAAAAGACCATCATGATTGATAATTAATAATAGAGAGTTATTCCATTAGAGATAAGGTTCTTAGGTTTCATTCAAATCTAGAGGAAACTTACAAAAAAAAATTAGAAGAAAAATGGGAAGGCCCCTTTTTCATTTACGACATCTTTAAGAAAAGCACTTACAAAGTTAGAACTCTTGATGACAAAGTTGTAAAATAAAAGGTCTATAGAAATTGTTTAAAACATTACTACATCAGCAAAAATATATATGCGTAAACTTTCGTAAGTTTTTACGGTGCGTAAGAAAATCGTAAACCTACGT